ATAAACACAATACACGCTAATTTGGCAGGGACATCCGCTACTGTCTGTTATGTTTGTTTTTTAACGCCGCACTCAGCAATATTCCAGCTATATGACGGCGGTCTGTAAATAATCGTGTCAGGACCAGACAATCCAGTGATTGACATCATGAACATCGATCTACGAAATTGGAATACGATGACATGTATCAACCAAGTCAGCGAGCCTGACCACCCAATCCCGTTGGTCGCCTCTTACGACAAGCATAATCGCCTATTGCGGCAAGCATGGGTTGCTGAAGACCTATTCTACACCGGATCTTAACGTGTCTATTATCAGTTATAATGCTTGTAGTGATGTATTTACCAGCTAGTGTACACCCTGCTTGTTTAACCGTTACATAGAACATTTACAACAATACTATAAATCGAGAATAAAATGTAAAGAAAAAGTCGGACATATTTTTGAATTCAAATAAGGGACCCGTTCCTCACTGTACACACGTATTTGGCTCATGCGTCTGAAATTCCATGGGGGAGTCCCCTCACAGTTGGTCAAAGTGTTTGTCGAAAGACGATTAGAATAGGAATGGAGTGGTAAGGCTGTGTGACTCGGCAGACTATGACGTTGTACCTCGGTGACGTGATTCGATTCTTATGATTCCTATTTGTATTTCTATTCTGACAAAGTAGACAAAAGTTTATGGTAAACTTCCTTATTATACTGTAATAGTTTCGATATAGACCGCTTCAAAGAAACAGCTTTCCCTGTGCAAGGCTGTTCAGCTAGACCATCTCTCGTTGGTTGGTGACCAGTGGACGAACAAGTGTGTCAGAATAGTACTTGCATAAGAAGCGTACGTAAAATCTACAATCAACTCTCGTGTTATTATTATTGCAGGCAAACTGAAATCTATTATCGATCAGATGTCTCGTAAAAAAATCGATTCTACTCGTTTCAGAAATGGCATTGAAATTAATTTGTTTATTTACACCTACATTGTATATTGTTATAGATGGATTTATGTTTCAAAGCGTTTATCACACTGTCAAAACCATACACCTTTTGCGCATGATGAAATTCATCACTCGAGTCCTCGTGATTGTCTCAATATATCTGATAAGATTATTCAAGTTAAGTTTAAATGTTTATGAAATTGACTTAGATAGGTTGGGATTGGATGGGATTTTTCAAACTAAATTAAATGAATTTTTCAGCTGGGAAAGATCCTTACTACTCCATTATGAACTGTGCAGCCATAATGAATAATGCACTTACATATTGGCCGTTCCATAAACCGATCAAAGACAAAGGTAGGTATACATAAACATGTTAATCTTGAGAGTACCACTCAAAGCGTAATTGTTTGGATGAACAGAATAGACATAACTGGGAATGGTGTAAGGATTTTTTACAAATGTAGACTTAAAATATAGGTCCCGTCTGACAGAGTTACAGAGTGGAGGACCGTGTCTGTGGTCCAGTGGATAGAGCGTCTGTCTGTAGAGTGGAACGTCAGTGGTTCAATCCCCAGCTGCATCACACCAAAAGAATTAAAATATGGTACTTGTTGTTACCCTTCCTGGCACTTGGCAAACAAGGAATGGTCGTCTCAGGTCAGTATCCTGTTTTTGAGTGGGGTTTCTATGTTAAACTGTGGCATGGTATCTCAGAGGGCTAGCACAATAAAACCGGCATTAGTCCAGATCAGTACAAGCAGCCATACACACACATACACGTATGCATGTAGGTCGCAATATGAGTGCAATAATCAGGAAGATGACGTTAAACCCCATTTCACTGCAAAGTGCGGCAGTTATTTGTTGAACACATTACCCAAAAGCTAGCAAACACAAAACTACTATCTGAAACAAAACCCAAAACATTTTGAGATTTGAATTTGTTTATTCTCACCAGCATGACTGAAGTTATTTCCACAACAATGTCTTCATGAAAATAAATCCATACATTTATTATGACCATTATTAATACAAGATAGCACAAACTAACAGCTGGAGACAATGTCTCAATTTCACACTACATACTTTTTCAGCCTTGAAAATTGTGAGGTCTAGTTCTCTTAAAGCATTTAGAATCAGACTAGGGAAATTACTCGCTTGGGAAAACAATGCTGAAGATTAGAACTAGTATCCATGCGACTGCTATTACTTGAAGGTTTGTAGGATGGTTTTATATTCAGTCATTAGGAATCATTCTGTCACAGCAATCCCATATTTTCACACCAAAATACTTTATACCTTTTCAGATCCCTTGGAACCCCAGAAGATTGACCAATTGTTACCCACATCAAGTAATAACATGGACAATAGAACCCAAATAATGTTGCAAATCTTTGTTGACATGATTCAGTGTTGTTCCAAGTTTCAGGTCTTTTGTGAATTGTACAAGTGAAATATGATATACCAATTTAAATGCAATAATCTAATATCAGCAAAATCCTATATACAAAGTTGCAAATGCTAAAAAAGCCCATTGAATGCTGTAATGACTTTAAAGAGCATAAATACAAACAAATACTTCAACTCAAAGTATTTCAACACAAACAAGGTCTAGGCAATACAAATGTTATTACACTGGGTCTGTTAAGTATAAACAGGCCTGCCCATATATATTACTAACAACAAATTATAAGTATAAACAGTTGCTGTACATCTGAGAGTAAAACTCCAGTACATTGTACAACCTTAGGTGTAAACCTGTCTAAGCAGACTTCTAGCATTCATAACTTCTGTTTCTTGTATTCTGACTCATTGTACATCATAATTAATCTGAAATGCTCTAGATACCTCATCTTCCACTAGCCTATATTAAAGAATAGTTTCTACCCTTGCCACATCAAGGCCACTTTTCCTGGCTCAACCCTGGTGCCACATCGCATAGATAATTAGTTGTGACCCTTGTAATGAAAACGTGATATCCAATCAGATTGCTGTTCTTATCTCGTATAGCTTCATAGATGGTGACTACCATAGGCGACGACCTTGTTGATCATTCGCAATTTCATTCCTGACACGAAAACATACGCAATCGTGGGGTTTAAAAAAATGAAAATGACATATTCATGTGAACAAAGACAGCGGCGGTAAATCACTTGCCTACGAATGTGTTCCAGTCGTGGATGTTGATTTTGTGAAACGTTCGCTGATTGGACTATCGATATGTGCGATAGTCCAATCATATTTAGCACAGGAAAGTGGGCTTGATGTGGCAAGGGTGGAAACAAGACTTTGATAACAAGGCTAGAGGATGCCTCGGGAACATGTAAAAACCTGAGATGAAGCGACTGTACAGAACAAAGCATGCATTGTTACTTACATCTTTATGACATAGGAACTAAAAGATTCACACAATACCCAGTACTTAATCATCATTGAACCTGCCCCAAACATAGACATCTACATGCATATAATAATACAGATATACATAAACTTTGGATGTCACTTTATTTCATGTGCAAAATAATAAATGATGAAGTCCAACCTACACCTGATTTCAATGTTTAAATCAAACCCATTTTAAAATCTAAAGCCTTGGGTGTACAAAATCTCAAGCCATCTGTGGCCTTAGAAAAGGAAGAGACATTGAACAGGATAAATGTTACAAACAGCAAAACATCACGTAAACCCTTAACATCATAAATTAACCCTCTTGTGATGTGACACTTCCACCGGCAATGGACACACCAGGAACAAATCTAATGATTTCTTATATTCTATGCCAATAACTCATTCAGCAAAACTATTGTACAAAATCATCTATTTTCCATAACTGAGTATTTCTCCACACATTGCTATGATATCTGTAAAGCAATTGTCTTTCAGAACATGATATTTTCCAATTCATTGTGGCAATGAGCAGAATGACACATGATATGTATATATTTCTTCCAAATCATGAAAATACTTACATAAATTGTTTATATTTTAGATGCATTTTCCATTCCTACATAAAACTTTGCTGAAACAACTTTATAAATACCCCTATTCTTAGACATATATACAGGAATACGGGGAGTCCCTCTATAAATACGTAACCCTATCATGACAGTCACCAACAATGTAACACAAATCAAACCCAGATGATAAAACAATAACAATCACTATCATAATTGCATTTTTCACAAACTTTTGTCCTACTCACAACTTCAGCAGTTCCTATAATTATGGTATTTCATAGATTATTTCATATACATGTATATGAAAAATAGTGTCATCTCACTATTACTATATCTTCAAGCTCTTACTACTGTGAATCAACCTTCGAGAAGTCTTCGTTCAGATGACAAGCTCCCTCTTAAAGTACCGGTACCTTCCTTCAAGTTAAAGACCTTTGGCGCCAGATCTTTTCATCATTCTGTGTTACGGAACTCTCTCCCCCTTTACACCTCATGACACCCCTTCATAACCACTTTTAATCCCAACTAAAGACCTATCTATATCAGCATTATTCACATTTATAAACCTATTCATTGGGATCGCTATTAAGTAAGAGACTTCTTTCTATAGGCATTAAAACCTATTGTGAGGTTTTACTTTCCAGTCGGGTTAAATCTTATAAACAGGGACGTTGTAATGTCCCTGGGATTTTATATAATATCCCAGGGATATTATATAATGTCCTGGGTATTTTATTAATATAACTTCCGTTCAGATTGTAACATGTAATGAAATGTAAAATCAAACAAAAATTGTTTTCTTTATATTCCCGAGGATCGAACTCGCAACCTTCATATCTGTAGCCCAGTAAGTGTACCATGAGGCTACAGAGGTGTTGATAAGCCACACTGGTTTTTAGAATGTCCTTTTCAAGATCCGTACGCCAGCAACAGATATTTTACGAGCATTTCCTAAGGTTCATGGAAAGTATGTTCAAAACATAAAAAATGTTGATAAATGTTGTTTTAAGTTTCTTTTTTCGGTTTATAAGCATAGAAAAACACTTTCCCCTTGGTTTTGGTAGACAGAGCATGCCCTGGGGGTCGGGAAAAACCGCGGGGGCTTCGCCCCCTTGGTTTTTCCCTCTCCCCAGGGCATGCTCCGTCTACCAAAACCTCATGAGCGTGTTTTCTCCAATACTTATTGACTGTGTGTTTGCTTGTGCTTAGAGCATGACCACGAGGTGATTATTATTATTATTATTACTAAACATAGTGGATGAGTTATGTTCAGTTAATTAAACATCTAAGCACACTAAAAATATCAGTGTGAGCAGCATGGGTGACTGTTCACCTGATTTAACACAGTTAAAATCTTGTTGTCATCATAAATAGGGACAATATGTTACACTTAGAATGTAGTTCTACATTTTGTAACGCCAGCTTCATGAAGACATTACAGTGTCCTTCTATGTACACTGTACAGCCATGTATCACAATGGTCCTGACATTAAAGCACTACTATAGACATATGTACAGCGAGACAGGGTTCCGGGGCATCATGACTTGACAAGCTGAGAGTTCTGTATGGCAGCCTGCTGCAGGACAGGCAGAAGCAGCTGGAAGCCATCTTGTATATACGTGGACGAGTTGGAGGCCTGGAACAGGAGGCAGTCGGGTGGATTCGTATCTAATTAATACTAGCTTCGGGCATGTTGCATGACCCTTGACCTATACATCTGATTACTGGGAATCACCAAGTTGAGACATTTGAATATCAGACAGTACACTAAACTCTATTGCTTAGAAGTCACAGCTTTACAAAATCTTATATTCTTAAAAGAGCCAGCATTCAGTTCAAGGAGTTAGAAAGTAAGAGAGTGAGGAGAAAGAGATTTAGAGAGGGGGGGAGAAAGAGGGGGCGTGGGTGAGAAGGTGAGGGGAGTGAAGTGAGTGAGAGGGAAGAGGGGACACAGATCGGGAGGGAAAGAAGGTAGGGTGAAGGAGAGGGGGGGAGTGAGGTGTGGGGGGGGATGGAGAGAAGGGGAGGGAAGGGGAGGGAAGAGGAGAGGTGGGTGGGGAGCTGAGGTGTGGGGGAAGGAGAGATGGATGGGGTAGTGAGGTGAGGGAAAGGGATGGGTAGAAGAGGAGGGAGGAGGAGAGGTGGCTGGGGTGGGGAATGGAGGGGAGGTGGGGGATGGAGAGAAGGGGAGGGAGGAGGAGAGATGGGTGGGGAGGTGAGGGAAAGGGATGGGGAGAAGGGGAGGGAGGAGGAGAGGTGGCTGAGGTGGAAGGGGAGGGAGAAGGAGAGCTGGTTGGGGAAGTGAGGTGAGGGAGAGTGGGGGGAAGGGATGGGGAGAAGGGGAGAGAGGAGGAGAGGTGGGTGGGGAAGTGAGGTGAGGGAGAGTGGGGGGGAAGGGATGGGGAGAAGGGGAGAGAGGAGGAGAGGTGGGTGGGGAAGTGAGGTGAGGGAGAGTGGGGGGGAAGGGATAGGGAAAAGGTTAGGGAGGGAGAAGGGCAGGAGAGGGAGCAAGTCAATAATTAGAAAAAGGAGTTAATGACATCACAATGAGGCCTACTACAAACGAGTGGCTCTGTTCACAGGGCTCAGGTCTTTCTTGAACAACCTTTTTAACCCACTGTTAATGTGACTGACACAGGAGTTCCTCTAGACAAGCACCTGCCTGTAATCTGCTTCATGCTACAGGGGGAGAAAGAGGACGTGTCTGACAACTTCAACCACTCACCTCCAGATAGACATTGGTGACGAGGGGCGTCACAACAGAAGTATCTTCCAGGTCCTCCTGGAGAAAAAATATTAAGAAAAAATGATTGAGCTGCCAAAATACAAACACTTGGCTTTTGGATGGTAACAGAATTAGTGTGGGCAGGGATCTTGTGTCAAGCAGAATCCACTTCCCAGGGCAGTTCACAGTTAAAACATGTTGAATGGTTTTGAAATCAAATCTGGAAATTCATTCTTAATTTGCTTTAACCTATGTCTCAATAATTCAGGCAAAGGACTGTGACAGATACAAAGGATACAAAAATCGGATATGACAGTCTGAATGCTTCGTTCATGCGTACCTCGAATTTAGAAGCTTCAGCATATTGACTGGCTGAGTGGAAAGTTCACCTGACACGACCTCCTATGTCCTCAGATGTTATACAGAGAGGTATCATGTCAGATGTAAATGATCTGATCTTAATGAGTTTGTCGTGAGATTCAACACTACATCTCCATGAAGACATACAATATTACATCCACGAACAGCAAGGTCAGGGATCTACTGATGGGCACTTACACTGACTTTGTGAAGACACTGTGTGAACTTGGTGGAGAGAATTGAGATTTCTGTGCATAGAACCTGGGTCAAACTGCAAAAAAAAAGAAGAAACAATATTAAGATTGACCAATCAATTAAGATATAATTAAATCTGAGTTTGCTCATTGTAATTCCAGCAATCTGATTTCCCAAACGTATGTACAAAATATGCCACATCCACCAAGAGGGACTACTTTCACCACAAAGGAAAAGTCATGAAATGATAGTGAACTTGTAGCATTGCCGTGGTATCAAACATGTTTATAAAAACACAAACTATATTTGTCAATGTTAAAAAAGAGTTTACTTCAGAAATAAATAAAAAGAGTGACACTTTTTTTATGTATACTGTAAATCCTGAAACTGATCCATCACCAAATTAATGTGTGTCGACCCTTGGCCTAAAATGCATCATGATATTAATGCAGGAAGCCCTGCATCATCGAACTATAACACCAAGTCGATGAACTCCATGAAATACTACAGGCCTATCAAAGAAATCCAGCAGAGAGCTACCAAACTATGGAATATGTAAACACTTTAAATAGAAAGAGCCACACATATCATATACAAAGACACAATCCCCATAAAGTTTTCAATGTAATGATAAGAACCCGGCACATTTTCAATGGAACCACAAACAGTAAATCCCGCAGACTGCAACAAATGGTAACTGTGTTTGGTGCCAATGTAAATGTGTCTGTAGATATGACAACCATTGATCCACGTCTTCGGGCAAGGTGACCACCGCTTCAGTGGCCTCTTACAACTTAGAATGTGTCAACTACCTGGCAGCCCTATGAAGGTCCAGTAGAACAGGTCTTCAGCAACCCATGCTTGTCATTAGATGTGAGTAACAGGATCGAGTGCATGTCATTGTATCCCAGTTGCGAGATTTATGCTCAATCACCGGATTGTCTGTCCCAGACTTGATTATTTACATAAGACATTATATAGCTACATAAAACAACAAACAAACTACAATAAACTACGTTTATAAAGAACACGCTTATAACTGATGGCTATAACAAACTTCTTCTTTTTTTGTCCCCACCATTTGCTGTAGTTATGCTGTATATATGCTTGTAACAAACTATGGTCATAATGAACTAAAACTGGTGGTCCCTTTGAGTTGGTTATACATGTAGTTTACTGTACAAGAAAGTACCTGGCGAGACTCTTGGAGCGCTTCTGGTAGGGAGTGTCAGTGTCCTGCTGCAGCAGGATGAGCTCCCCGGCCTTGTGGAACTGCTCCACGGACTTGGCTGTCAGCTCCGCCAGGGCCTCTATAGCAGTGTGGAAAATCTCCTGGAACACGCAACACTAATACTGTAGTTATAGGTGACCACTGGTCCGTGTATTTGAAACAGGACCCGGGTAAAGGCAATTGCAGAACCGACCCGCGTACTCGGGTGATGGGTCATCTGTCCAAGCTTTAAATGACTGACATACAATGATGCAAGATTTTACACATGGAATTGTCTCAGTCAAACAGTCTTAGGGTGTAAAGTGAGTACAAGTATGTACATTAATTTCATAAAGAACAGTAAATGGTAACAGATCAGACACAATTTGTAACCTACTTGTATAATGTTGGAATTTATGTTGTATGACTTATTACAAGGTGATTCTGCCTTCTAAATTCCCACATTCTGCTAGCCCGAGACTACTAAACTGTGCTGAGGAACAGTAAACATCCAGTGATGGTAGTCCTCATTGACAATAAGCATTTGGGGGCCAATGCTTCACATTGCTACAAACTGGAACTGAATAAAACTGACAGAAAGCGTAAACATGGTGAACATTTTTGTCTTGTTCAAGCAGGACGAGCTACACTCTCCAAAGACAAGTTTACACTAATTGTGATAAAACAATTAGGTGAGCTGGGTCATCTCTAGAGTACGGGGGGGAGGACGCACTACAACGAATGTCCTTGGTGCAGGCGCCACAAAAGAGACTGAGCAGCCTGCACAGTCGTAGGCGGAGTGCAATCAAAGTGTTGTGCCCAAAGCCCAAATGTGCCTGATTGAAAAGTCTGTGATTTTGGAATACGGCTGGAGGTTGCTGCTGTAACCCGTATGCCATGGCTCCTATCCAAGGGTGTAGCTGATGTGTATAACCACCGTCTGTGTGTGAAGGGTTTATCATGCATCAGTTGGTGAGTATTTGCCTGGCAGTGGTAAGGCGCGAGATCCCCGTCCAGACCCAAGTCTGTGCTGCATACGGCGCCTCGTCCATGGCTAGGATTCCATCCAATATTCTGGCCGGCGCCTATGTTCCAACCGCCACCTTGTCCAGTGTGTGAACTATAAACATCCTATGCTGATGCTCAAGCTCCAACCAGCACCACCTCCTCCTCTTGCGTTTGCCTCCCATTCCATGATCAAGTTACAGCCAGCTCCTCTGCCGGTGCTGTCACTCGGGGAAGAACCAGTGGGGAGACGTTGGAAGCGCTCATCGTCCTAGAACGTGGGGATGTCTGGACCGAACAGGTAATAGTAGCTATCAACACTGAAGTCGTCAGAGTCATTGCTGTCCCACAACAACAGTCACCGTGGCAGTAGCCATGGTTGCCACCTGCCATCTGGGGAATTCTCTGCAGGCCTACTGAGAAAGTATTCTTTCCTTGACATGTATATAGATCTTGAAAGCTGTATGCATCCCAAGACATGGCCATCAGTAATGATTCACCAAATGTTTTGCAAAGTTGTCTCACAATACAAGTATTTTTGAGGAGTGTTCATAAATAGATACACACTTTATATGCCCAGTTGGCAACTATGTGAAGTCTTGCTATATAAACTGGTATCCATGGTAACTGCATCAAGTCTTACTTTTGGTTCTGTCTTCTCCTTCTCTTCTCCTTCAGGGGGATCAGCGTAAAAGTTGATGATCCACTTCCGGATCTTCTCCTGGACCTGCACACAAGCACAAACAGGTTGACAACACATTACAGGAAGTGTCTTATGTACATGACGGGGTTTATATAGGACTCCAAACTGAGTTCCCTTGCTAGGAAAATTGGGAAAAACAATTTGTTTACAACTGGGATTTATTTTACGTTCTTATTTTCTTAAATTAAGTGGTATTTACCATTGTACTTTAACACTGCATTCAACATTTTCACAACAATATTGTAACACGAAGCATTAAGGCTCCTTCATCTGCTGGTCCTGTCATAGGTGAAACACAGACCTATACAAAATCAAAACAAAAGTTACTATGAACTCAAATTTGGAATATTGGACATTTGCGGCAAATTTATGGACAAATGTTAGCCTCAGAGCAGGTCTATCAATCCTTTGTATTTTAAATGAATAAATGGCAGGTGATTCTGTGGCATTTGATTAGCTAACCAGGCAGTTCTATTTATGTTTATGTTTCCATAAACTGATTAAAACATGAGGCCACACCTGCAAACAGACTGCTGTTCTTGACTGGCTAGTAATAAAATAGGTGTGGGCTTTGAGCGTTATTGCATTATCTACAGTTATTTTTGTGTTAATCATTTAAATAAGCAATCTGCTAAGGTGATTGTGAGACCTTGTTCAGCTTATCCGGAGTTGTGCCCAGGTGCAGTTCAGATAGGTGGTCGGTGATCAGCTTGAAGAACTCGTGCTCCTGACGTTCCTCTGGAAACAGAATTTTCAGACTGGTCATCCAGCTGGTATCAACATTGTCAAATACCAAATAAAACATTCTGTGGTAATAGTAATTTTCTGTAGAAAATTCCTTTTTTAACATGTCCCTCTCAGCAAGAGATTTCTCCAACTTATGGTTGACGTATAATTTCTCTAAAATTTTGCATAATGACCTATACTCGCATCAGTTTTACTTGAATAAATTTGGTTAAAATGCATGTTCAGATTGGCTGGTGAATTCCTGGCTCAGAACCATACCATAGTCACTGTCATCCAGCTCGAAGATGTTCTTGATGTCAATGAGCTGTGGTTTCAGCTGCTGGATGGTGTCGTCAGGGAGGGAGGACAGGAGGGCCTGCACCTTCTTCTCACTCTGGTTGGACAGGATCTCCAGGGCTTCCAGATGGGCCATGCCTGAAGCAAGGATAATACGAAACATTTACATTACTCGTTAAAGACTCTAGCTATCTGATTGGCGAGTTTTCCTGTCTTGAAAAATCAGGTTACTAAAAATAGTTATAGCTGTTATAAATGAAAACACTTTGCACACTATTTTTTTTACATTTCTATCTCCATAAACAGAAACAAAATGTTGAAGTCAATTCTACAATAGGTAAAATATTGCTGACAGTCTCATTAAGTAACATTAATCCTGCTCCTCACCCTGGAAGTCCTCAAACAGCGCCCCGTAGTTGTGTTTCCGAGCCTCTTCCTGTTCCTCCTGATGCATCGCATCCTGCTCCGCCCGCTCCTTCGCTTCACGCAACATTGACGACAAATTCTGCTTCTTGCTGCCGTCAAACATCACCTGCTTGGTCTTCTTGAAGCCAGGGTCACGGTCTGACAACACGTTGATGGTCTTCTTGCCAATATTCTCCAAGACATCGATGCCACCACTAGCTAGAGCCTCCACGGCATCGAGGGATCCTGACACTAGAGACTTGCCCTAGGGGTAAATACTTCAGTTACATACTGTGGGAATACATCAGTAGTTCTGGCCATCAGTTGGCAAAGTGCATTAATACTAACTCAGAGGGGGTGTCCCATCATCTCACTTCAAATACAACAAGAGTCATCAGAAGATGACAAATACTCCCGGACCCGACAAATTCAAAACAACAAATCATCTGACTGTTACCAAAAATACAGTTTGATGAGAGAATTTCTATCAAATGTGTCTGTCTGCATACAAAAGTAGTTAGGGAGCTATCCAAACAGTACCATGGAATTTTGATTTTGAACTTTGTATTTCTATGTCAGGTGCACACGAATTTGAACAGAGTAAGAGTCAAACTTGTCACCATGGAAACAGGAAAAAATTATATCCACCCCATTTTGTTTCGATGAAAGTTGAGAAAAACACAAACACCAAAAATCCACACAAAAAAAGGCACCACTTCAAGGTCTGTTTGATATATATGCCAGGTTTTGTTGAAAAATAGTGATAATGTTTTTAGTTGTGCTTCAAAGTACAAATTGTTGCCATGGAAATTGAGTTAAATAAAAAAGTAAAAAATCTGTAAATAGCAAAAGGCACCACTTCAGGGCCTGTTTGATATATCTGCCAATTTTTGTTGAAAAATATTTAATGGTTTTCGGGTTGTGATCCCGAAACGAAAAGATTATGGACGACCAGACTGACGAGGCATTGACTACATGCCCCTGCATTTTATGCCGGGGGGGATAAAAATGTGCTCCTTGCCCTGGGAAAGTAACTCTGAAAACCCACTTGCCCTGATGGACTACATAAATGCCCTCATAGACTATATTCACTTGCCCTGATGGACTATTCACATGCCCTTGTAGAGTATTCACATGCCCTTATAGACTATTCACTTATCCTGATGGAAAATTCACATGCCCTTATAGACTATTCACCCTGTTGGACTATTCATTTGCCCTAACAGACTATTCATTTGCCCTAACAGACTATTAACTAGAATACAAAACACAAATATAATAGTACGACATTATAACATTAAAATCTTGAAATTCTAATACCCCACCTTTATGAAATTCATGTGTTTGCTTTCTCATAATCTTTCTTGGATCAGGATTTTCGCTTTGGATAATCGCTGTTAATTTTATGTTTTATGTTCATCAGCCATGTGGCCGGATCATGGCGTCTTTCAAATACATAAAACAAGCCAAAGCTCTAACCAGTCAGAACATTGTTTACAAACAAATGCAACCAGACTAACATTCATTAGTACAAGCACAACAAATATTGCAGAAAGCTAACTGTGCAAAGTGACTCTGAAACATGGCATCATGTGGCTGCATTGGAGTGACAAGACTCCAGGAGGGAGTATCTGTGTGTCATGGAACAGACTTCATCCATATTATTAGTGTGAGAAGGCCATTCCCACTAACAGAGTTCCGGCTGGTTGATAAGAGAATGGGCGCTTGTTCACTCACTGTGTTTTGAATCGTGCTGGTGAGGCTTGCGACTCCAAAACCGGAGAACCATCCTCCTCCTTTTTCCTCCTCTTTGGGCTGACCACTGTCTAACCCTGCCTGTCCATCGCCGACCACACCATCCACCAACGGTATGGGCTCGGCAACAACCACTGGTGGCGTGCTCCCATCCCCTCCTGATGACTTGACTGCACCATCACCAGACTGCGGGGCCCCCTTCTCATCTGTGTCTTCATCTGAAAAGAATCGATATTGAAGTTTCTAATGACTTATTGCCTGACTGTAAAACCATTACCCGTATGTCAATCTGAGAATACACTAGATGTCTTTTTATAGCAATAAGTTTATGACAATGAGCCCTCAACTTTGATTCTTAACTTCGAACTCTGCTCAATGATCAAGACACACTGGTAATTTTAACTTGGTCATTGGATAAGAGTGTACGGACACTCTGTATGTTGCGATAGGACACACACCTTGTAAGGTCGCAGTACAGTAAACTACGGTTAATACGAAGTCCCTGGGACCACTAATTTTAGTTCGTTATAAGCATATATACAGCACATATTCAGCAAACGGCCGGGACCATAAAATAAGATTGTATATCCGTCAGTTCGTTATAAGCGTGTTCGTTATAAACGTAGTTTACCATGTTTACTGTACAGTAAACTACGTTTATAACGAGCACGCTTATAACGAACTACGGTTATAACGGTAGTTTACTGTATGTGAAAACTGAATGTAATGAGTCTGTTTAGTCCTCTTGTACTTACAAACACAAAATGGTATTTCAACTAATGTCAGTACCATTACTTATCCCCATTATATATATTTCTATCGATTTGTATTGATTCTTTACCTACTGATAATATCTTTGTGTTACCATGATGATGACAGAGTATCACTAAGCACCAAATATTCAGAGAATATATTTGACTGGCCAATCATCTTCTTGTATAAACCCATACCACATAAATTACAACACTGTAACAAGTTGACTACAAATTGTGTTTGATGTCACAATATACTGTTCATTATTTATTGACATCATTTTACTTTCTTACACCCAAAGAATGTTTGACTTTTTCATTATTAAAATCATGTACACCTCACCAATGACACTTTACTCAATACAGCATTTAGGGCTTGGATGAGTTGGTTTTGCTATTTCAACTACCCAGACCCATGGTCACATGACCTAATAACAACAAAATAATGCATTGGCTGTCAGCACGGTTATCTCCCAAAACCCCTACATCCCATTTCCCCTACAACCCAGTTCCCCTACAATTAGTTAAAACAACACGCGGCATTTACCTGTCTGGTATTATGAACTCACCTAAAGGAGAGATTAAGGTCTGGAGTAGAGGTAGTAGAAATGAAAGGGGTAGAGCTTTAGGGGACAAGAGAATTTCTTCTTTTTTTAAATAATGTAAGTGTAATGAAAGATGCCTATATGATGAGAAGACAATTTTAAAAAATTACAAAATAATGTATTATGAATTTTGAAAAATGAACATTTTATTATAATGTATTATGAATTTTGAAAAATGAACATTTTATTATAATGTATTATGAAATTTGAAATTATATCGTAATTGTAATTTAATATTTATCTCAATCTGTTCGTGTTTCTTGGGTTGTTCCATTGTATGAAATAGGTAATAGACTAGGGATTAGCAGTGCCATGGACCGTGAACTTTGTTGTCTTAAGCTGTAGGGGAAATGGGATGTAGGGGTTTTGGGAGGTTACCGTCAGCACAATATGAGTAAAACTATTGAACCACAATTTTCACTTATGATTTATGCAGAACAGAATTCAGCAGCGAGAAAGGTGCATGTTTTTGTCACAATGTTCAAATGATAAGGCAAGCAATGTGATCAACAAGAACAAATAGAATTTTCAATAATCGAACACAAACAATGTTGCCCCCATTCTCAACCTTGAGTTCGTTTAGTTTCATGAGGAGGTTTATTCATACTACTTAGTACTTAGTGAGAAAAAGTGAGAAAGAGTAGGGCCAGTGTCTCTTTTGAAAAATAAAACAAACAGATCTCAGAAGTATGTGTTTGTTTTTGTAAGGAGTGATCTATTTTCACTGAACTTTACATTGAACAACTACAAAATGAGTTGGATCTATCAGTTGGGATGCGCCAATCATCAATTATGATTTTACAACCAATTCCCAACACCAATATATCACCAGATATAGAATTTCTTTGTTTGTTTGTTTGTTGCTTAACGCCGCACTCCGCAATATTCCAGCTATACGACGGCGGTCTGTAAATAATCGAGTCTAGACCAGACAATCCAGTGATTGACATCATGAATATCAATCCACGCAACTGGGATACAATGACATGCATCAACCAAGTCAGCGAGTCTGACCACCCGATCCCGTTAGTCATCTCTTACGACAAGCATGGGTTGCTGAATATCTATTCTACCCTGGATCTTCACAGGTCAGATATAGACAAGTATTTGTCACAAAGTGACGAAATATCCCCCGCCTGTATATACACCATAGTACCAAATATGAAGACAATCCAGCGATTAGTTCTTGAGATATTGCGGCAACACCGTTTTCCAACTCCAAAAACAGATTTGCCTGCTGTGACCTTGAAAATGGGGTCAAGGTCACCAAAACCGACTGGTGTATGCGGTGTCTGTATATACACCATAGTTCCAAATATGAAGACAATCCAGCGATTAGTTCTTGAGATATCGCGGCAACACCGTTTTCTAACTCCAAAAGCAGATTTGCCTGCTGTGACCTTGAAAATGGGATCAAGGTCACAAAAACTGACTGGTGTCTGCGGAGTTTGTATATACACCATAGTTCCAAATATGAAGACAATCCAGTGTTTAGTTCTTGAGATATCGCGGCAACACCGTTTTCCAACTCCAAAAGCAGATTTGCCTGCTGTGACCTTGAAAATGGGGTCAAGGTCACCAAAACTGACTGGTGTCTGCGGAATTTGTATATACACCATAGTTCCAAATATGAAGACAATCCAGTGTTTAGTTCTTGAGATATCGTGGCAACAAACAGGTGGGACGTACGGACGTACGTACGGACGGTCGTGAATACTATATCCCCCGCTTCGCGCTTTCGCGCGGCGGGGGACAAATAATCGTAAGTAGTGCTACCATGGCTACTGCAGTGTTGAACTGTGTATTACATGAGGGGTTGAGAACATACCTTCTTCTCCGGCCTGCTCCTTTGCCTTCCCCTCTTCCTCTAGTCTGGCGATCTCCTCGGGCGGTGGTGCACCCAGGGAAGACTCCACCGACTCCACGATCGTGTTGAAGCCCTCACCTGCACACACAACACTGATGCCACCACAACTGCACAACTTCACCCCACAAGCAACAGGTCATCAATATTTCACGTCTCGTTATACGAGTCCGAATTTACTACCCGGGTACCCACCCCACTGTTACCCGCCCCTATCGGGATACCCACTGTAGGTGTCAGAGTAGGTACAAAATGTCTGATTTGGAATAGTTTGACCATAGCCCTGGCAAAATGAAGTTAGATACATGTATAAAATGATCTGGTCATGCATACACTGAAGTTGACTGCAGTTTAATGTTTATTCAAACATATGAAAGTCAGAAGGAATGGGTGCACAGTCAGAAAGAAATACGAACATTAGTGTCTTGTAGTGTAACCATAGAATTCTAAATAATTTTTTGTCCTTAAACAATATATCACATGACTAACCATGGGTTAAGGTAGGTCTATGGGTACCCAGGTCCTTCTCAGCACCCACCTAGACCAGTACACCAGTACAAAGACGTATAGATGATAGATGTTATTTACAGCTACTGTAATCATGGCAATATTTTGTTGCACTGCCCTGCCACTTTATGAACTTCACCTGACATGGAATAAAACCATTTTGAAAAAAAAAGTCCAGACCAGGCAAACCAGTGTTTGATAGAACGAGCAATGATCCAAGTCATCTGCGCCCCAAATGCAACCCTTACAAGCATTGGGTATGAGGGACCTTTCTGCACAGTATCCATCATGTCCATAGCAACACAGTGATTTTGACACAAAAAGCTGTATACAGGTCAATGACTTGGACACATCACATTCATCATCTATGTCACAGATGTAGTTGAGAGAGTTGACTTAAGACACAAATACATATAACCATGATTATCACAGTATTGTCATGTTTGTCAAGTCATTGTTAAAACAAGAATGGGGTACTAGGTAGGGCTTCCACGAGTCCAAATTTTTGGACTCGAGTACCTGAGGGGTGAAACTCGACTCGTACTCAAGTACCCGAAAATAGGACGTCCTTTAAGAATATTGGTTCATTAGATCAAAATTGCCTTCTAAAATTATTAAAACATGTTATAAGTGTAATTGAACTGCACTGACATGTAAATAGAAAGCGTCCATGGAACTTGTTTATCTGTCCAAGTGTATGGAAGTGTTCAGTGTTAATGTTTGCTTGTAACTGCACTAATCTTAATCACGACCTTAAAAAACATTACGTCACGTCTACAAATACTACAATACATATTGAACACAAACCAAGTTTTTTTTCTGACCATCAGCGTTTCATTCGACACCTGCCAACAAGCACGAACAATAATTCGCAGGAAGAAAATCGATAATGTGCATCACGTGACATACATGTATACTCAGCTGCTGGACTGCAAGACTAAGGCCGCTAAATATTGAAATGTAGTACTATAAGTTCATTCATTCATGAGTTGGTCACGTTTTCAAACTGTACCAAACTGTCGACTTGTCACTTGATTTGTAAGCACTGAAATAGCACATATATACCAGCTAATCAGTTGTTAATCTGTGTAAGGGAATACACTTGGCATTTGAGTCAGAGCAAAGAAGAAATAATCGCCTTGATACATTCAATTTCTTAAAGTCGGGAAGGAAAAACAATAATTACATCTATTTTATGTGACATTCTCTATTTGTTCTAATCTACATCTACTTTCTACAAAGAAAACATTATTCAAACGATATTAAAACAGAGTGATCTCCCCTTATCGAGTACTCGAGTCCTTGATAACGGACTCGAGTCCCACTAAAACCGACCCGGCCCCGAGTACTCGAGTACTCATAGCCCTAGTACTAGGTGACATTATCTGATATTGAACATGTTGAAACAAAGAGTCATGAAGGCAAATGTTTTTTAATGTTTAAAAGTATGTCTTGCATAAAGTATCACAAAATATCCTTTATACCATGGCACAGAGCATCACAGCCTCAGCCTTGGGGGTGAGATTGGACGTTTTCATCCTCCTCATTGTGAACTTTCCCCACCACTATCACATCGCATATCACACCACTATCACATCGCATATCACACCACTATCACATCGCATATCACAGCACTATCACATCGCTAATCACACCACTATCACATCGCATATCACACCACTATCACATCGCATATCACACCACTATCACATCGCATATCACAGCACTATCACATCGCATATCACACCACTATCACATCGCATATCACACCACTATCACATCGCATATCACACCACTATCACATCGCATATCACACCACTATCACATCGCATATCACTGCACTATCACATCGCTAATCACACCACCATCACATCGCATATCACACCACTATCACATCGCATATCACACCACTATCACATCGCATATCACAGCACTATCACATCACACATCACTATCACATCGCTAATCACAGCACTATCACATCGCTAATCACAGCACTATCACATCACACATCACTATCACATCGCTAATCACAGCACTATCACATCGCTAATCACACCACTATCACATCGCTAATCACAGCACTATCACATCACACATCACTATCACATCGCTAATCACACCACTATCACATCGCTAATCACACCACTATCACATCGCTAATCACAGCACTATCACATCACACATCACTATCACATCGCTAATCACAGCACTATCACATCGCTAATCACACCACTATCACATCGCTAATCACAGCACTATCACATCACACATCACTATCACATCGCTAATCACACCACTATCACATCGCTAATCACAGCACTATCACATCGCATATCACAGCACTATTACATCGCTAATCACACCACAATCACATCGCTAATCACAGCACTATCACATCGCATATCACAGCACTATCACATCGCTAATCACAGCACTATCACATCGCATATCACAGCACTATCACATCGCATATCACAGCACTATTACATCGCTAATCACACCTTTATCACATCACATATCACAGCACTATCACATCGCATATCACAGCACTATCACATCGCATATCACAGCACTATCACATCGCATATCACAGCACTATTACATCGCTAATCACACCTTTATCACATCACAAATCACACCACTATCACATCGCATATCACAGCACTATCACATCGCATATCACAGCACTATTACATCGCTTATCACACCTTTATCACATCACATATCACACCACTATCACATCGCATATCACAGCACTATCACATCGCATATCACAGCACTATTACATCGCTAATCACACCTTTATCACATCACATATCACACCACTATCACATCGCATATCACAGCACTATCACATCGCATATCACAGCACTATCACATCGCTAATCACACCACTATCACATCACAAATCACACCACTATCACATCACAAATCACACCACTATCACATCACACATCACAGCACTATCACATCGCAGATCACACCACTATCACATCACAAATCACACCACTATCACATCGCAAATCACACCACTATCACATCGCAAATCACACCACTATTACATCGCAAATCACACCACTATCACATCACTATTACACCACTCACCCACTTGACTTGTGAAAGTGGAGACCGACGATGACGCTGCTGTCAACAGTGATGATCCCCAAACTCCCCAGCCCCAGCTTCCAGACTCCTGTAACCATAGCAACAATCCTTAACCACCTGACATACTTACAGGTATCACAAAGCGTGCTTATTCTTGGACTATGTCTAATAAGGAACTGAAGTTCATAAATGGAACAAAATGAGATGTTGGAACAGGATAATATTTACTTATTCAACACATACGCACGGATGCACACCCCGGGACAGTGTTGACTTGGTGTTACACCACTGCCACAGAGACCTCCAGGATTTGAATTTGCATTTTGGAATTACGGAAACATTTCGAAGGTACATGTACATGATGTACTTGGCAAGTGTATCACATTAAACACTTGATAAAAATCGCTATTTGATATCACCAGATAAACCAAGCATTAAAACATGATATTGTGATACGTATCATGGAAAGAATGAACCTCAATTTACCGATTTACCGGAAATACTGCACACCTTTTGTTCTAAGAATTAGATATGCTTTAACCTGTTAACAGTATTGATCATTACTAACTATAATCATTAATTTTGGCTCCTTAAAGTTTCTCAGGGCTTCTTAGATTTCAAATTGGCTCCCTGAATTGTTTAATTAGGAACAAAGCACTAAACTTTAAAGCCTGGATCAAAGAAGAATGGGAAGGTTGTAATGATAAGACACATATCTAAGAAGGAAGGTCCTGAATCATACATGTCATATATACTCCTGGTTTTCAGTAACATTTATAAAAGAGTTCAGTATGTTACTTTTGTTGTAACACAGTAATGTGATTATGGTGATATCAAATGCCCTAGAGTAATCAATAGATTTAAAACAAATGACCTGGTTTCATAAATATACATAGCTTGGTGACCCAGAAATGAGTCAGTTTCTTTTTTTCCGAGGTCAATGAAAAAACAACTGTAAACTGTCATACAAACCTTTTTCTCTGGCTTTTCTTCTTGCACCTCGGATATATCCTCCTTAGTCCCTGCGTCTGCCTGAGCACGGGTGATGCTCTGTGGGTTGGGGGATGCAACTTGAGCCGGCTGGGCAGGTGCCTTCTCAGGTGTACCACTAGTCCTGACCTCCTGACCAACAGACTCCCCGACAAGCTTGCCTTCAGTTGTCTCCCCTTCAGCTGCAGCTGGTTTTGAACTTGCCTTTCCATCTCCAATATCGCCTCCACTGGACTTAGATTCCTCAACAGCCTTTGTTTCTGGTTTATCACCCTTCACTTCTTCAACACTTGACTTTGTATTTTCCGTTTCTGTTTTACCAGACTGTGTCTTACCAGTCTTCGCAGTTTCCGTTTTACTGGCTTCCTTACCAGACTTCTCAGTTTCTGGTTTACTCGCTTCCTTACCAGTCTGCTTAGTTTCTGTTTTACTCCCTTCCTTACCAGTCTTTTGCCCAGGTTTGACATCAGTGGTTTTCTTCGAGCCCGACTCTGGTTTTGCTGGGTCTTTTTGGGAGTCATTGTTGGCATTCTTCTTTCCACCTTTTTTGCCTTTCTTCTTTTGATTCCTCCCCGATTCTTTCTTCATTGGTTCTGATGGTACTGCAGCTGCAGCTCCATCCTTCGTCTCCGCTTTACCTCCCTTCTCCCTCTGATCCCCTTCATCAGCACTGGCGAACGCTGCCTCATCGTCTGTGTCAGACATGGCTTCACACTAGCACAACCTGAACACACAAAATAAACTATAAAGCCCTGCTAGTCTTCCGAGCTTGCAGCTAGTTCTGCTTGAAAAAGACAAAGTGTTTACTATCTTTACATTCATAGTGTTGTATAAAATATGTTTACATTTTCTGACATTTTTTCAATTCTAATTTGAAGGAATTGAGAACTGGTTCAGAATTATAGCCCTCAAATGCTACAAGTCACTTGTTATAAGCACAGTTTAGTAGTCTTGGGCTAGTGGACTAGTGTGAATTTTGAAGGCTGCTTAAGTGATATGCTGGGACATAATATAACCTAGATCATAGGGAAACTTGTTACTGTTAGACCTGGCATTATATCTACAAAGTTGGGACAACTGCATTGTTGGAAGGTTAAGTATTCAGCTATAGCAGTATAGTGTCTTAAATTTTTACGATATTAATGTTACCATGGTTACAACTGAAATAGTTTAAAAGATCCCAATAGTCACCCCCACTTACAGCACTGAAATTTGTTCCTCCAATTCCTTGGTCATATAATATATCAACTTTGAGACAATTACTGATGATACCAGTGGTGTATAATACAATAAGTTTCAGAATCCTTTGGGCTCGAGGAAAGAATATGAAGAAGCTTCTATCTGCAGCTCGCGAGTAATTTTTGCCTAGGTGAGTGAGCGAGTTGGGTCTAACACCACTTTTAACAGTATTCCAGTTATATCCCAGCATGTCAGCTTTATGTGGGAGGACAGCCCAGACGTTCACAACTTTGGTGAAACTCACAAGTACGGGTATGGTGCTGACAAACCAAGAAACCTAATCAGGGCGAATCGGGATTCGAACCCATGCTCTTCGATTTCTGGTGTGCCCAAGGCACGCAACACTGCACAGGTTAACTATGGTCCAGATGGAGTATCATAAAAATGTCACTGTGTGAACATGGAGAAAATGAGACAGTTTCATAAACTGCTGATTATCCATTTAAGTGAATGAGCTTATGTTGTTTAACACTACAGTCAGCAACATTTCTGTCATCACCTGATCACACCAGGCCTGTAAATAATCAAGTCTGGACAAGTCTGGACCATTAAGTGAAGCAGTTGATAACAGGAGCAATGATTCCCTCATGGTACACTGGTCTGAGTCTCAGTGCCTGACCACCGGATCCCCACTTTTAGTCAGCTTATAGGACAAGTGTGTGTTACCATGGTTACTGGTGACTTATTCTAACTTGAAATCTTACATCTTGTACACGGGCATGCCAATAAAATCGCATTTGTATAACCCACTTCATGTTGTATACTGTAAAGCATGAAACTAATGCAAAGATATGAGTGTCCTTTGCTCGCAATAATAAAGTGATAGATTATTATCCAGTCATATGGGAGTTTTGTTTGTTTGTTTGTTGTTTAATGCCGCACTCAGCAATATTCCAGCTGTATGACGGCGGTCTGTAAATAATCGCGTCTCGACCAGACAATCCCGTGATTGTTATGAGCATCGATCCATGCAATTGGGATACAATGACATGCATCAATCAAGTTAGCGAACCTGACCCTCCGATCCTGTTAGTTGCCTCTTATGACAAGCATAGTCGCCATTTGCAGCAAGCATGGGTTGCTGAAGACATATTCTACCCCGGACCTTCACGGGTCACATAGTGTGGTCATTTTATTTACACAAGTTGTCCAGGCAGTTATGAAAGTCAACAACTGTGTATGACCGTCTAGGTTCTTGATAAACTAATGACATATAATTACAAGCAAGACACTGCTCACCTACACCATGAACATGTCCAGTGAAGCAAAAGCAGTTGTGGGGAATACATAACACTCTTATGTACGACCCGAGGATTACAGTAACTTAGTAAGACCTGTAACAACACTTGGAATCTGTACAATCGTTGTCGGTGACCCGACCTATCTCATTTGAACATGCACTATTGGAATCTCCTGCTTTTAAAACCATTTCAAGCAGAGAAAAATGTGGGGCTACCAACTACCCCTGGACACTGCAGTAGTGGAAATGTGGATCTTAAAACCTCTATATACATGATATAGTCCACCATGGCATGTAGGCAGTATTTGATATATAGCATGTATAGTAAGACTATATTATTGGGGTATCAGTAAATCTCGTAATCCACACACCCTGTTGACTGTTTACTTATCTAAGCACGATATTTCATTGCTTGATCGACTACAGGACTTGTTGTGGTATGTCTCTGCTACCAGCTGGTATACATGTTAACGTTTTTGTGATAGTTTCTGAAGGGTTTTTGAAGAGGGATTTCCCCAACCTCCATTCGACCCGTGAAGATTCAAGGGTAGAATAGGTCTTCAGCAACCCATACTTGCCGTAAAAGGTGACAATGCTTGTCATAAAGGCGACTAACCATGCTAACAGGATCGGGTGGTCAGGCTTGCTGAATTGGTTGATGCATGTCATTTATCCCAATGGCGTGGATTGATGCTCATGATATTAATCACTGGACTGTCTGGTCCAGACTGGATTATTTATAGACAGCCGTCATATAGCTGGAATATTGCTGAGTGCGGCGTTAAACAACAAACCAACCAACCAACCCAACCTCCATTCAAAATTGATTACAAAAGAACCCATTTGTTTAGACGAAGTCCCTTGACCCAACCTAGGTCATATGCATACTGATTACGTGTTATCCAAAACAGAGGATTTGATTGTCATTACATTGCTGGGTACATTACAGAGCGGTGCATTGTGTATACTTTTCTGTAGTAGGCGACCTAAGCCAATGCTACCTCTGACTGTCTGACAGTTTACGACCGCAACAGTTTCATCACACTAAACAGTTGAATGTCTGGGGCTTTCAATATGATAAGTGCAGGTTGTACAAAGAATAGATTAAGTCCGTCTGTTACTGTCCTGGGGCTAGTGTTAGCACAGAGATTGAGTGAGCCAGCGTTCGACACAAACAACAAACTAGGCCTAATTCCTATTTTTAGATGTGTCGTAAAAGACTTGTAGTTAATTAATGAATGGTCCCGGTGTTTTTCACGAAGTGTTACATGAATATCATGTGACGAAGAAACTGTCAGACAAAAATGATCCGTCCTAGTAGATCAAACTCACCAGATTGTTTACAATTATTGCGCCAGCCACGTCAACTGTGCAAAATGTGACTTTGTTGATGTTTGAACGCGCATGCGTATGATAGACGGAAGTGGAAATAATGCCATAAAACAGTGGATTACCTAAATGTGCGAACAAGACACACTTATTTTGGTGAGTTTAAAATCTTTCAAACATGGACTCGAATGTTCCTTGAATAGTCGTGCCATATATACTGGGTCGTCCGGTTTCCGCAATCTAATGTCACGATCATGTCATTTTAACGTAAGAAGCGTACGTAAAATCTGCATGTATGCTATTCAACGTTCTAACTGGTTCAACTCTTGGTTTGCGCAGCACCCTCTTAGGTAACAGGAGCCCAAACTCTACACGCAGACCAATTTTCCAAAAGGTTATTCTCTCTAGCATGTCGGAAATAATATCTGTCAGGGGCAATTTTTTTTTTCTAAAAAAACCTGTCGGTTTTATTGAAACTGATCAACATCTTGGGAAAAAACACTTTTCTTTTGTCAATAACCGAGGACGTAGAAAACCAGACACCAGACACCACACACTGCTTTACTCACAATCGCGGAGACCAACGTGATATTGTCCATTAAAATAATGTCAAGACAAATTTTGATCCAGAGGATGAACACGGCGCATAGAAATTTTGTACTTACCTATTGTTGCAAGTATGTGTAGCCCAGAAGATCAAACAAATTGTAATTTGCACGTGGTACCTTTAGAATCAGGAATGAGCATATGGCACATTTCAATTTAAATATTTATGTAACATAATATTTATGAAAACAAAACTATTAATATGTCTTCACAACAATGACTTCCTGAAACATTTGTTGTTAAATGTTGTTTTCAAGGCACAAGGGGTAATAAGGTGACGCAATCATAGTGGTATACAGGATAATGTTGACATTGATAGGCCTATATCTACAGTGGTAAAGTTATTAATATTTTTTCATAATTAATATTCCTAAAGAAATAGCTTCATTGTTGTAATATTATTTTATAATGAGGTAGATCAGTGGACACATGCAGATATTATTAAAAATGAAACCCACAACGTTGTGAGTGCGTTTTTTTATTTTTCACCACGAACCATACTTCCTGCTTATATGTTTACTACTGTAGCCTGAAACGTCAATTATTCACACTGTCCAAAAGTGCTAATATCTCGCTACACGGGAAATGGGTCAACGTTTCACCGCAGCGAAATTCTGTATGGGGAAATATAGGTCGGAAAGAGCTTGACTGGTACCCTGCCCTTCCCTTCGATCATTGTCCACGACAAACGTTTTCAGTGTAATAATTTACATTTAGGTTTGTTTAAAAAAATATACTCACAATTATGTAGATCTATGTTTTTCGTATTTACACATACCACTATACATGCATGAGACAAAGATCAAGTTTCTTTTAAAATTTTGTTTGGGGATTACTTATCTAAAAGACCCCAGGTAATTTTTTCAAACCCATAACAAATATCCAGGCCATAGTTACAATTATATTCCATAAATTCATATTTGACATATTAAAAAAAGAAATATGTTCAATTTGAAACAATTATTCGCAATTCAAGAAGAGGAAACAACCTTATATTGGTATCCGCCTCCTACATTGGTGTTCGATCCCCGGCCGCGTCATACCAAAAGACGTTAAAAGGTGGTACTTGTTGTTACCCTGTCTGGCGCTCGGCATTAAGGGGCTAAAACAAGGACTGGTCGACTCGGAGTCAGTATACTGTGTCTGAGTGGGGTATTCATATTAATCGGCACGCACGCACGCACACACGTGCAATAATCTTGGACGCGACGTTTAACACCGTTTCACCTCCCCTCACCTTACACTGGTTATTGAGTGCATCATGCACAAGGCGGACGATTGATATAAAATGATTGCGAGAGGCATCATGCGAATTGGGCTTTTGGTTCGTTTGAAATTAAATTCTAACTTTCTGGTGACAACTTCGCCAACACAAACAGTCGCAGAAGACCTGGATGACTGGTTGAATTGCACCGAGTGTATTTGTACTTCGATCATGTAAACGTTGCTGCCGTATACGATAGATACAATCAGTATTTAGGAAATATATGTCCTTTCCAGTCACATAATACGTTATAAATAGCCGCGATATGCCTGGGATATTGTTGAATACTCCGCAAACAACATGTTCTTTTCACGATTGGTATAATTCCAGGGCGTGGTAGGTCCCCAGTACCCATTTTCTTTTCGCGATTGGTATTCCGGGGCGGGGTAGGTCCCCAGTACCCATGTTCTTTTCACGACTGGTATTCCAGGGCGGGATAGGTCCCCAGTACCCATGTTCTTTTCACGACTGGTATTCCAGGGCGGGATAGGTCCCCAGTACCCATGTTCTTTTCACGACTGGTATTCTAGGGCGGGATAGGTCCCCAGTACCCATGTTCTCTTCACAATTGGTATTCCAGGGCGGGGTAGGTCCCCAGTACCCCATGTTTATGCTCACACATTGATACCGTAGATTCCCGATTAAGTCCTTCAATTGCCATTTTACTTCTTGATGTACTGTAACAATGCAGTTGTGCCATTAAGCACTTGTAATTTAATCACCTGCTTGACCCAGTCATTTATGTAACACCGTCATTTGGCCTTTTAAATCCAATGAAATCTGTTTTAATGGATAATCGTATTCTCTGGCATTGATATTTAGTATTTAATTTAACTGGGTCTATGTTCTGTTTTGTTTGACAGACATTACTTAGAAGTTGACGGATGACAAAGTAGACACAATTTATGGATAACAACTTCTTTAATACTGTAAAGGCGACGTTTCGGTATAGATCCTTATACCGTTGACACTTTATGTTCTGCTAGTGGACTAAAGTCCCCAAGTTTCATCATAATCCCAGTATTATTGTTCAATCATGCTGAGTTAAGTACAACATACATGTTTAGGCCAAGACATCAAAACTGCCTCCACTGTGTTGCAAATCGAACATTTCTTGTTCAACGTTTCTTTCTTTACTGATAAGCAGCAGAATCTCGTCACTTGTAATCAACAGACGTAATTCAAAATTAACAATCATTTGTAGTTTCACCAAAATAAGTATATGCTCTATCGTTTGACTGGATGTCTGGTCCATCATTCGTGTGGCAGGAGGACTGCTCTGCGGTGTCAGGCAACGAGCACACATTTTTTTATGCGAATTTTGTGAGTGGCGGGTTCTGCCTGTAGGGCGGGACATGATTACCCTTTTCGTGGAGACCTGGTGTCATCACTGATTTTTCTATGATCCACTCATATAATTTCCACAGCTGCTAGTATTTTGCCTTTTACGACCAATGGAATCTGTTTCGTTGGATAATCGAGACTGGTTATTCTCTGGCGTTGACGTTTTATATTTCACACGTAGGGTAGTTTCATTTAAAACATTTCACATGTGCATAACAAAAAGTATTCTATTCGTATACATTTCGTATGTAGGGTAATTCAATAACAAATATAACAGTATATTAAAAAACGTATTTTATAAATAGAAACTTAACATGTAGGTAATTTAATACGAAATAAAATTATTGCGTGCAATACATGCACTTCTAGAAGGAGAGACATTGTACCCATAATATATTACCCGAATGGTTCCAGATGTTGTCAAGACATGCACTCCTAGAAGGAGAGACATTGTACCCACCATATATTACACAAATGAACCAAGGTGTTGTCAACACATGCACTTCTAGGTGAGACATTGTACCCATTATATATTACACGAGTGGATCCAGATGTTGTCAAGACATGCACTCCTAGAAGGAGAGACATTGTACCCATTATTTATTACACGAGTGGATCCAGATGTTGTCAAGACATGCACTCCTAGAAGGAGAGACATTGTACCCATTATATATTACACGAGTGGATCCAGATGTTGTCAAGACATGCACTCCTAGAAGGAGAGACATTGTACCCATAATATATTACACGAGTGGATCCAGATGTTGTCAAGACATGCACTCCTAGAAGGAGAGACATTGTACCCATTATTTATTACACGAGTGGATCCAGATGTTGTCAAGACATGCTCTCCTAGAAGGAGAGACATTGTACCCATTATATATTACACGAGTGGATCCAGATGTTGTCAAGACATGCACTCCTAGGAGGAGAGACATTGTACCCATTATATATTACACGAGTGGATCCAGATGTTGTCAAGACATGCACTCCTAGAAGGAGAGACATTGCACCCATTATATATTACACGAGTGGATCCAGATGTTGTCAAGACATGCACTCCTAGGAGGAGAGACATTGTACCCATTATATATTACACGAATGGATCCAGATGTTGTCAAGACATGCACTCCTAGGAGGAGAGACATTGTACCCATTATATATTACACGAGTGGATCCAGATGTTGTCAAGACATGCACTCCTAGGAGGAGAGACATTGTACCCATTATATATTACACGAGTGGATCCAGATGTTGTCAAGACATGCACTCCTAGGAGGAGAGACATTGTACCCATTATATATTACACGAGTGGATCCAGATGTTGTCAAGACATGCACTCCTAGAAGGAGAGACATTGTACCCATTATATATTACACGAGTAAATCCAGATGTTGTCAAGACATGCACTCCTAGGAGGAGAGACATTGTACCCATAATATATTACACGAGTGGATCCAAATGTTGTCAAGACATGCACTCCTAGGAGGAGAGACATTGTACCCATTATATATTACACGAGTGGATCCAGATGTTGTCAAGACATGCACTCCTAGAAGGAGAGACATTGTACCCATTATATATTACACGAATGGATCCAGATGTTGTCAAGTCATGCACTTCTAGAAGGAGAGACATTGTACCCATTATATATTACACGAGTGGATCCAGATGTTGTCAAGACATGCACTCCTAGGAGGAGAGACATTGTACCCATAATATATTACACAAATGAACCAAGGTGTTGTCAACACATGCACTTCTAGGTGAGACATTGTACCCATAATATATTACACGAGTGGATCCAGATGTTGTCAAGACATGCACTCCTAGAAGGAGAGACATTGTACCCATTTTATAGTATGCTTATAATCACTATAAAATACTTCACGTCGAAGACTCTCGTGCTTACGCGCGCTGTTGTTATCAAAATAACAATGTCTCCACATCATTTACCTAATATTGTTCACACGCACTCTGACGGACTATTGAACTCTAGCGCAAGTCTAGTGTCAATACACCACTCGTTGAAAATATGGCGTCGTAGTCTGTGCGACGAAGTGAACTCATTCTTTATTTTTGGGTGACAAGCTAAAGCACGTGATGACGTCAGAGAGGACAACGAGAATGATAGGCAGGCTTATCAAGCACATGCCACTGTATCCCATTCCATGTGCTGATAGTCTAGCATCCTTCGCACTGTTGTATTTTGCCACAGCCTTTGTTAGCTTCTTATCATTCAGTAAAAGTTTGTTCTCGAAGTTTTCTTTCACTGCTTCAACGCCGGATGGAGACAAAGTATTAAGACGTTTGGGAACGCAGGCACATCGACAAACCAGTCTCTTCCATCTGGCCGACACTCGCTCAAACCTCCAAGGTCCGAGCGTCACAACCCAATTCTTGTCCCAGGAGCTGATGTTCCACTCTCCCGGGGGAGTCCAGTCAGGAGACGTCGCAGCTGACACACCTGCTGTGGTAGCAGAAGCAGCAGGGGCAGGAGTAGTAGTAGCAGTGCTGAGACCAGCTGCTGTGGTAGTAGGGGCGAGGCCAGCTGCTGTGGTAGTCATAGCAGGAGTAGTAGTAGTAGGGGTGGAACCAGCTGCTGTGGTAGAAGGGGTGAGCCCAGCTGCTGTGGTAGTCATAGCAGGAGTAGTAGTAGCAGTGCTAAGGCCAGCTGCTGTGGTAGTTGGGGTGAGGCCAGCTGCTGTAGCAGTAGGGGTGAGGCCAGCTGCTGTAGTAGTTGGGGTGAGGCTAGCTGCTGTGGTAGTCATGGTGAGGCCAGCTGCTGTGGTAGTCATGGTGAGGCCAGCTGCTGTGGTAGTCATGGTGAGGCCAGCTGCTGTATTAGTAGGGGTAGAACCAGATGCTGTGATAGTACGGGTGAGCCCAGCTGCTGTGGTAGTTTGGGTGAGGCCAGCTGCTGTGGTCGTCATAGCAGGAGTAGTAGTAGCAGTGCTGAGGCCAGCTGCTATGGTAGTTTGGGTGAGGCCAGCTGCTGTGGTAGTAGGGGTGAGGCCAGCTGCTGTGGTAGTAGGGGTGAGGCCAGCTGCTGTGGTAGTAGGGGTGAGGCCAGCTGCTGTGGTAGTAGGGGTGAGGCCAGCTGCTGTGGTAGTAGGGGTGAGGCCAGCTGCTGTGGTAGTAGGGGTGAGGTCAGCTGCTGTTGTAGTAGAAGCAGCAGCAGTAGTGGTGGTGAGACCAGCAGAAGAAACCAGACTAGAAGCAGGTCCTGTTCCAAAAGATTTAAATCCTGAATATTTATGTAAATGTGTTGCAGAGTGTTCTTATTCTATAACGTCTCACCAAGGCCATAACATTATAATTACTAGGTCGTTTTCCTATTGCTAAAATTTGTTTTTTTTTTGTCTTTTTAATGGACAAATAATTATGCTTTTTGTGTTAAAATAATTTTTAAACATATATTTCATACTTAATTGCATCATACTTAAATTGTTTGAATAATGAAAGATGGTTTTGTTCACTGATAACCACACTGGAAGCAGAACAAGCAGAATTCGGGGAATTATGTGCATTTGCAACCATCATTGTGGACAGTGTTGAAGTAAATGTGTCTGCGGAAATCGTGCTCGCAGCATCTACTTATGTTGGAGTAGAAGCAGCAGTAGCAGTAGCAGTAACATAGCAGTAGCAGTAGCAGTAGCAGGTATTGACGGTGCAGAAACCGTCACAGAATTGGCATCAGGATGAGTTGCATCAAGAGAAATACCATCGCCACGTGATACGTAATGAGTTTGTGACGTTGTGAACAATGGATGACACTACCTACAGTGTTCTCATCAATGTAACAGTATGACGTCATATTGATTCAAAATGACCAATCAGCTTTAAGAAATCGCTAAAATGCACATATCTTTCAACCCCTGAGGTTGTTGCGTTATTTCAGACGATGTACTGTATTCTTACCAAGACAGGTGTCATCGTTGGCTTTTAACACGAACTGTGTTTCCTCTGTCTTTTCACAAATGAACATCAATATCCGTGTGCATGAGATATCATTGAAGCCCACTTCTGTGGATTCCACGCAGTCTTCGAGTCCCAGATTACTGTTCGGTTCCCCCTTAGACCAAAAGTTGAAAACAAGAGGCGAGCAGTCCGTCCACACGAAGTGCGCAGACTCAGAGTTGGGTGTGTACTGTCTGGATCCGCCAACGAAGAATCTGCTTTCTAGACACAAAATAGTCAATGAGTGAATGTTGTTTAACACCGCGGTAAATATTCCATCTTTATCACGGCGGACTATAAATAAGCAAGTCAGGACGAGACACATTAGTTACTAAACGTACGAAGAGTCAGTCAGTTCGTCTGACCTACACCTTGGTTGACTGAAGCGACAAGTGACAAGCATGAGCATCTGCGGGCCAGTTCTTGTCAGAATCCCCACGAGGTGGCTACAATTGAGGTGAGGTGACGTGAAACAAGGCTCTTGCACTTATATAGCGACGTGCGATTATTGCACGTGTGTGTGGCCGTGCGTGCGTGCGTGCGTGCGTGCGTGCGTGCGTGCGTGCGTGCGTGCGTGCGTGCGTGCGTGCGTATTTTTGTGACGCTGTGACTTTATGAAAAGAAGTATTCTTATACTGTACGCTTTAAACTGTGTTTAGATCCCAAACCCAAACGTAAGCGCGTTCCATGTTCTATAACTTTGGCGGGTGTGTGTGGCGCTGTGAGTGAGTGAGTGAGTGAGTGAGGTTTTACGCCGCTTTTAGCAATATTCCAGCAATATCACGGCGGGGGACACCAGAAATGGGCTTCACACATTGTACCCATGTCGGGAATCGAACCCGGGTCTTCGGCGTGACGAGCGAACGCTTTAACCACTAGGCTACCCGACCGCCCCGTGTGGCGCTGTGACTTTGTGAAAAGAAGTATACTTATACTGTACGCTTAAAACTGTGTTTACATCCCAAACCCAAACATAAGCGCGTTCCATGTTCTATAAGTTTGGCGGGTGTGTGTGGCGCTGTGACTTTGTGAAAAGAAGTATACTTATACTGTACGCTTAAAACTGTGTTTACATCCCAAACCCAAACATAAGCGCGTTCCATGTTCTATAAGTTTGGCGGGTGTGTGTGACGCTGTGACTTTGTGAAAAGAAGTGTACTTATACTGTACGCTTAAATGTGTGTTTAGATCCCAAACCCAAACATAAGCGCGTTCCATGTTCTATAAGTTTGGCGGGTTTAGCTCAAATATGTCTTGTGCAAATGCTTGTTTATCAGATTGCACATTTGATTTCAATATCTTATCGATATTTGAATTAATATTGAAATTCTAAACATGTTTAGTTTTAATTTATTAGGATAAAACTCAATGATATGCACTTTGTTGTGAACATGATTACATTCTGTTGTGTTGAGGTGGTTTAGGCTGTGACTACACAGCTCATTTCATGTTTAGACCCTAAACGTGTTTCGATAGAATACACTAAATGTGTATTCCGTTTAGGATTTAAACACTCCCCTAACCATGTTTAGATCCAAACATGTCTTGTAAAGCTCAGTAAACCTTTCAAAAACTTTTATGGTAGACATGTGGAGGACATTTCCAAATTTGACGCACCAGTGACAAAAATGGTGTCCGATGCAACTGCCTATTTTGACTTGTACATTTTCAGCAGAACAATTGACTTGCCCTTGCCTTTGTATTTGTGACGGGTGCCATCGGTGGGGCAGGATACGCTCACCTTTTCGCGAACACCAGGTATCATCACTATTTGATAGTGATTGATAAACACCTGCTCATGATATAATCGGAATCGTACAATCGCCTCTATTGAATATGGAAAGGGTTTTGTCGCTTTTATTGTATGTATTTACATTCCAAGCATATTATTTTAAAGTGTAGTCCGGGCTAATGTCGGTTTGATTGTGCTGAAATTCAATGCCGCAGCTTAAAATGGATACCTCACTAAGACACAGTATAAGGACACCGTGCCGACCAGGTCTTGTTGTATCACTTAATGCCGAGCGACAGGCAGGGTAACAACAAGTACCATTTTTTAACCTGTTTTGATATGACGCGGCCGGGGATCGAACCACCGATCTTCCGTTCTCCGGACAGACACTCTACCCACTAGGACATTTAGAAGGCCGGATACAAATGACGTACATGACACGTCCAGAATAAGACCACCTTACTGACCGCACTTAAGCAGCACGTCTCCTCGAACCCGGGTCTGCGACATACCCAACCAGCTTTAACCACTAGGCTAATCAACCGCTTCTGTAAATAGCCATCTTCCCGAGGCAAGGGAGTTAACTGACTATAAAAGTCCAGTTTCCACCCTTGCCGAACTAGGCTGGTATTATGGAGTTACATTTTGGCTGGACTAACGAGTCTATGCATAGTCCAATCAAAATCGCGCACAGAAATCGAAATCCGGTTCGTAAAGTGTCATGCAGATTTCGGTCGACTGCAGGATTTGCAAAGCATGTGCACCGCTAACTCGTTGTCAACAGATATTTTCTATATCTTTTCATGTTTTTAATCAAGGTGCTCACGTGATTTGATGCACTTCGCGATGTATGACTCGTTTTATCACAATATAGATCTTGATTATCGATCAGATCGTCTTGACTGGGCGCCACCGTTTTGTTTGAAACAACTGCAAGTGATATGAGAGGTTGAATCTGATTGGTCAATAGGAGAGGCATAGAAAGGACATTACTCGTAATAGCCACTGGTGGCGCTACGATCGAGCCCAGGAATTCCAGCCTAGTTCGGCAAGGGTGGAAACTGGACTTTTAAAGTCAGTTAACTCTCTTGCCTCGGGAAGATGGTAAATAGCATACGTACCCAGAAAGCGTTTAGCAAATGAGGTAATTAGTGCCGACTTCCACAGAGAATCCACTTTGACAAGTCGCCCACCATGAGCCTGACACAGGGAGTTGGCATTGGTCCAGCTCAGAGCGGCGGTGTGCGGTTTGATGCATACGTCACCATATGAAAAGTAGCTGTAGCCGTCGCTAGAGGCGCAGTCAGGATTCTCATCTGGCAGAAACACAAGCGGCCATAGATAAGGATCCATCATTCAATGAGTTGTACTGATATCAGGTCTTTTGATCTTGATATACAAAGTGTACAAAGAACCTTCATTCGGACATACAATGTTCTGATACTCAGTAGGATTTAAATACGTATCTTCACAGATTGTCGAAACACAGCCGCGAGCCGTGAAGTAAAATATGAAACAGTATGTCATGTTTAGACTAATGGAAGAACAGTGTGTCATGTTGAGACTAATGGAAGAACAGTATGGCATGTTTAGACAAATGGAAGAACTGTATGTCATGTTTAGACAAATGACAGAACAGTGTGACATGTTTAGACAAATGGCAGAACAATATGTCATGCTTAGACTAATGGAGAACAGTGTGACATGTTTAGACTAATGGAAGAACAGTGTGTCATGTTTAGACTAATGGAAGAACAGTGTGACATGTTTAGACAAATGGCAGAACAGTGTGACATGTTTAGACAAATGGCAGAACAGTGTGACTTGTTTAGACAAATGGCTCAACAGTGTAACATGTTTAGACAAATAGCAGAACAGTGTGACATTATTACACAAATAGCAGAACAGCGTGACATGTTTAGACAAATGACAGAACAGTGTGACATGTTTAGACAAATGACAGAACAGTGTGACATGTTTAGACAAATGACAGAACAGTGGGACATGTTTAGACAAATGACAGAACAGTGGGACATGTTTAGGACAGAACAGTGTGACATGTTTACACAAATAGCAGAACAGTGTGTCATGTTTAGACAAAGAGCAGATAAGTGTGACATTTTTAGACAAATGACGTGTTAATAAACAAATATAAGACACAAATACGGAACATTAGTGCATGTTTAGACAAAAATACGGAACAGCAGGGCGTGTTAAGAAACAATGAATGAATAGTAGAGCGTGTTTAGAAACAATGGCTGAACAGTAGGGCGTGTTTAGACAAATGGCAGAAAAGTGTGACATGTTTAGACAACTGACAGAACAGTGTGAAATGTTTAGAAGCAATGACTGAACAGTAGGGCGTGTTTAGAAATAATGACTGAACAGTAGGGCGTGTTTAGACATAATGAAATAACATTATGACGTGTTTAGAAACAATGGATGACAAGTTGAGCGTGTTTAGAAACAATGGCTGAACAGTAGGGCGTGTTTAGAAACAAAGACTGAACAGTAGGGCGTGTTTAGAAACAATGAATGGACAGTACGGCGTCTTTAGAAGCACTCATAGCTGACCAAAAGAGCGTGTTTAGACATAATGTCTGAACAGTATTACATGTTTATACATACTGACTGAACAGAAGGGGGTGTTAAGACACAATGAATGAACATTATGACGTGTTTAGAATTTTTTTGTCTGAACGGTAGGGCGTGTTTAGAAACAATGGCTGAACAGTAGAGCCTGTTTAGACATAATGACTGAACAGTAAGGCGTGTTTGGAAACAAGAAATGAACAATTTGACGTGTTTAGAAAACAATGGCTGAACAGTGAGCGTGTTTAGAAACAAACCATGGCTTAACAGTATGAAGTGTTTAGAAACAATGGCTGAACTGTAGAGCGTGTTTAGAAACAATGGCTGAACAGTAGAGTGTGTTTATACATAATTACTGAACAGAAGGGCGTGTTTAGAAACAATGACTGAACAGTAGGGCGCGTGTAGACATAATGAAGGAACAGTATGACGTCTTTAGACATAATGACTGAACAATAGGGCGTGTTGAGACATAATTACTGAACAGTAGGGCGTGTTTAGAAACAATTACTGAACAGTAGGGCGTATTTAGACAAAATGACTGAACAGTAGGCCGTGTTTAGACATAATCATTGAACAGTATGACGTGCGTGGACATAATGACTGAAGGCGTGATTAGAAACAATGAATGAATAGTAGGGCGCGTATAGAAACAATGACTGAACAGTAGGGCGCGTATAGAAACAATGACTGAACAGTAGGGCGCGTATAGAAACAATGACTGAACAGTAGGGCGCGTATAGAAACAATGAATGAACAGTAGGGCGTGTTTAGACATAATGACTGAACAGTAGGGCGTTTTAGACATAATGACTGAACAGTAGGGCGTGTTTAGAAACAATGGCTGAACAGTAGGGCGTGTTTAAAAACAATGACTGAACAAGAGGGCGTGTTCAGACATAATGACTGAACAGTATGACGTGTTGAGACAGAATGACTTAAAAATAAGGCCTGATTAGAAACAATGACTGAACAGTAGGGCGTGTTTAGACATAATGATTAAACAGTATGACGTGTTGAGACATAATAACTGAAAAGTAAGGCTTGTTTCGAAACAATGACTGAACAGTAGGGCGTGTTTAGAGACAATGACTGAACAGTATGACTTGTTTAGAAACAATGACTGAACAATATGGCGTGTCTAGAAACACTGGCAGAACAGTATGACATGTTTTACAATAATGTCGACGGATCAATATGGCTTGTTTACATATAATGATAAGCTGTATATCTATTATGCCAGACCAGAAGAGAATCTTTGTCCCACTTAAAGCTAAAACAAATCAGAGGAATAATGGTATAAAGAACACCTACATGAAGACCGTGTCTCCCACAGCCGCACGGAAGTCAACGCTTCAAGTCTTAATTCGCACGTGTGTGGGAGGGGGGTTGTGCACCAGAGGTCATCCCATTTGTAATTGAACAGTTTAAACATTGATAAGCAGGAGGCAGATCCATCCGGCTGGAATATATACGAGTTTAAATACATATTTGAGAACGACACCCCGTTCGGCCACGTCCATACAGCATTGTGGCCGACGTGTCCCCCTGTCCACACGCCTCTACTTGCAAAGGCATCAGCTGCAAAGAATGTACATACAGTTTATATATACCAATGTATATACAGCAATACTCCGTTAATACGGACGATTAACACATGTCCGTAATGAAATTAATTGCACAGTTCTAAACTGTCATATAACGAGGCGGGTTGTCTTCAACTAACTTTAGTATTGAAAGGAAATACACTGAAGTTCATGCGTTTTCGTGGTTGTGCCCCCTGTGCTCGACCCTTACATCCCAAAATTCTTCGCAAGCGGCATAACTCCTGAATGGACAACCACTAAATAAATTTCAAATATACGACATGAACATTAACTTACGTGTTTTTCTAATGAAGGCTTCCACAGCCACGTGTTTCGCTTCCGCGTCTAGCGTGGCCAGATAGTGATGAAGCCACGATTCACACTGTTGTTCAGAGTCTGACCACGTGGCTTCTGTTGTCTCTACCTTGAAACAAAACTTGCTACTCGAATCATATTGATAACCCTTCTCCGTTGGACATGTAGGCGATCCTGAAACAGTTGTAAGCAACATAGAGGTAATGAAAATATACAGAGCTCCATATAACTATTTGAGCAATTGACTTTTTATTCGAAGGTTTCTATTTTAATTGGGTTATTACATTTTTCAAAGGGTAACCAATATGTTTTCACTCATCTATACATCACTCTATTGGGGTTTTCTAAAAATGATTAAACATTTTGAGATTTCAAAACAAAAATTATTTTTTAGATGTATATAACGGTTATAACGATAGGCTTGACTCGGAAAGCAAATTTGCTCGTAATTGTGTTTCGGAAATTAGCACCTCTGTACGCTTGCTAAAAAAGCTTCACTGGGTATTTACGCATGCTTTTTTTTAAACATTTGAGTTTTTCATTTGATGCATGCGTTTCTGTACGCAAGTTAATTGAAAGTAATTGGGTTTTGAATATTTTTTTAGATATTTTAAGCAAATACGCAGCTTATCTGTAACTCTGTGTTTATTTTCAGTAGAAAGGCCGTTGGCCCACGTACAAATATATCATTTAAATACAACATGAATGTTACGGATGACATGTACATACTATTTTAACAATGCATTCCTTGTATCAAAAGCCTTCTTTACATATTTACAAAAGTTAATGATAACATTTTGTTGGAGGCATGATAAAAAGGACTCGTATTTATGTACATCTGAGAATAAACTTAAACTGAATTATTGCATGTTATTGTATCCCAATTGCGTGGAACGATGCTCATGATGTCAATCACTGGATTGTCTGGTCCAGACTCGATTATTTACAGACCGCCGTCATATAGCTGGAATATTGCTGAGGACGGTGCAAGATGGGATAAGTGAAAGCTGGCACAAGATTGGGTCTCTCCGCTCACAGGCGGACATTTGTAAATGGTGTAAATGAGAATACCAGCTTCCCGTAGGATGCCAGTAGAGTAAGAGTTACTTTCTAAAAGCTGGTGTCACAACACGGATTACTATTTCTTTTTAACATACAACTTCGATTTTGACTATTCTGTCTTTAATTACAGACACTGCTATAAGTAATACCCTACCTGTGCAATAATCTGAGATGGAGAACCTGCATTGGGCTTAGACACAAATACGTCTTGGTGTGATCTGACTTACCCATATTGAATCCAGCGCTGTGGCCTTCAGCACCACCAACTTGAACACTGTACAGCACGATCATTACTGGGAACGTCAGATTCAATGTTAAATGCCCATAAACCTGTTCAGATCCAGCCAAAATAACGTATCTGCAACAATCCTGCTCTTCAACAACTCTCGCATTTTGAAGCTGATTTTTGAGCAGTTGTTTATTCCCTTTCTCCGTGACGTAAAGCATCAACCGTTGACCCACAGTCGCAGGACTTGGCGGGATCCTGAAAGCCGTCATGTATCTGTCTATTGGAGCTATTGTGATCATAAATGACGTTACATTTGAGTCAGATGACCACAGCAGCATCTGAACCTGGACTGGCTTAGAAGTACTGACACACATAGTCTCTGCAGTCTTCCTATTAATGTCCACATAGCGACCCGTGTCCATGACAGTGTACGCTGACTTCCATGTGTTGACTTCAGTGTAGTCCTGAGAAGCGACAACCCTGAACACAATGTCTACATCAGTGATGTTCGGGAGGACAAACTTGACACCGTACAGCTGCACCGGTATCATCATCTCCACGAAGAAGCGATTTGCATCAAACATCCCCGCCACAACAGATATCGCCTTGTCACTTTTGATATATGTACCTGTGAGGTCTTTGTCACATCGGACTCCCCAAACATCCATAGACTTTAGCGTTATATGCAATGTCTGTCCATGGTCAAGTGTGATCCCACTGCACGATGTCTGTCCATCAAAGGTTTTTATTGTTATGTTCACGGAGGTGTCATCGTCATAAGCAGCAACAGTAACAAACGAGGAGCGGCCAGCGGCGACCGTGTACAACGATACAAAGTATTCATCTGACCAGACACTCTTAGGAAGTGCCTGGAAGCCTTCTGTGTTGCCTTCAGACATACTGGCGACGACTTGCACTGACACGTCCTCGTCAGCAAGGACTTGAAGACCTTTGCTCTCTACAACGCCACTTTCCCCATATATGACACTGGACGTGAGGGGGATACTGATGCTGTTCCCCACCCCTATCACAGCGGATTTAGGTTCCTTGTAAGCGGGCGATGTCAGAGTCACTGTTGTATTCTCCGGGCCAGCTATGACGACCCATGTTCCTGGATTGGGATCAGTGAGCGAGGTGACGGACAGCATGAACGTCCTCCCTTCTCCTCCGCAGACTGTAACATAGCAACATACTACTACTACTACTAGTACTATTGCTGCCACTACTACTACTACTACTACTACTACTACTACTACTACTACTATTACTACTACTACTACTACTGCTGCTGTTGCTACTACTTTTGCTGACACTACTACTTCAACTACTACTATATTTATTACTACTACTATTACTACAACTGCTGCTGCTGCTACTACTACTACTGCTGCTACCACTGCTACTACTGCTGCTGATACTGCTTTACTACTACTACTACTACTGCTGCTACTACTATTGCTGACACTACTACTACTACTACTATGACTGCTACTACTACTTCTACTGCTGCCAGTACTACTGCTGCTGCTCCTCCTCCTCCTCCTACTGCTGCTACTAATGCTGCTGCTGCTGCAACTACTACTACATCTGTTGCAGCTGCTTCTTCTCCTCCATCTACCGTAAACTAGATTAGTGCCCAAGGGACGCAACTCTGCACACCGAATCGCGGCGCCTTAAGACGACTGGGCCACCCGTGCCCCCTGTAGATGTGAGGGATGCCTGGGGAGATTATGTTAGATACATGTATGCTTCACTTTGTTGTTTGAAGTTATCTTAATCCCTAAATTGTATATTTGACAAGACAAAGGCATATAGTTATTTCAGATCTGATTCACAAAAGCATCACATTATCTCTCTCTCTGAGACATAGAGACTTTGAGACTCTTATGGTTAGTGGCCAATTATGAACCTTAGATAAGCTGGAAATTAAAGGCATTATCAGACGACTGGACCACCCCTGCCCCATTAAATACATAAGAGCGAAGGAATATGGAGTGTATGGTTGAAAGTCCCATCGTGAACTTACATGTACGACCCATGAAGATTCCAGGGTAGATCTTCAGCAACCCATGCTTGCCGTCTAGGGTGACAATGCTTTTGGTAAGAGGCGACTAACGGGATCGGGTGGTCAGGCTCGCTGACTTGGTTGATGCATGTCATCAATCCCAATTGTGTGGATCGATGCTCATGATATTAATCACTGGATTGTCTGGTGCAGACTCGATTATATACAGACCGCCGTCATATAGCTGGAATATTGCTGAGTGCGGCGTTAAAAAACAAACAAACAAAAACTTACATGTACACTATTTTGCCTTTTGGTATAAACACATGTTGCATTTACTTATATAATATTTTATTTAATGCATGACCGAAGGTCAAAGACCAGGATTCAATAAATACATCACATAATTTGGCAATGCCTTACCGTAAACGTTCGTGACCGATTTGGCCTACCACGACCAAACCCTTTCCAAAATCATACGAAATCTCTGGTAAAGGCAAGGCCCACTGTGCGACTCCGACTAATATCCTAAGCATGCCTTCATGAAGGACATGAAAACATGACATTGGCTTCGAGTTTTTATTTGAAATTTTTCTCTGTACGTGATTGTCATATCGTGATGTGTGGAGATTTAAATGCCAAACAGCTGAAGAAATGCTTTAATCACCTGATAGCGGCCTTGCATATAACGAAGATGATAAGGCAATGAGAGAAACTCTAAACATGATGATGTGAACACATTTTAAACCATACATAAGTGATCCATCCATGCACCAAAACCGTTAATTTAGATCACATTCAACTGCGGTGTCTTAAACCCACTTTATGGAATCCGGATATATTTATGGGAAAATGTGACATAAAAAGTATGAAACAAATGCAACATTCTGAAAATAAATAAATAAATTCAAATTTAAAAAAATAAGCAAGAAGAACTAGAAAGATGCTTGTATTACAGTCATGTAAAAAGGGAGCAGCCCTTGTGCACACCTTTTCCTGAATGTACCAAATCTTGCCAATCAGCAAAATATATATTGAACCAATTTATCTTGACCACATCATGTGACATTTGACTTCACAGATACCCAATACAGTACAACTTTGAGATAAAATATCGATGCATCTAGTTACGTTAATAATGAAGTTATAACCACTTCCGGTTTCGGAAACCACAGGCCCAATGCAAGACAACTTTGAAACACAAAAATCTCATGTATCTAGCCACCTTAGTAACAAAATCATAAACACTTCCGGTGTAATAACATCATTTCCGGTTTGTGAAAACACGGGATCAAAGCAAGACAACTTTGAAACAGGATGTCCCTTGACTCTAGCTACCTCAATAACAAAGTTACAAGCACTTCCTGTTCATAAACCTTGAACTTCTCTCGCAGTCGGGGGACATGGGTGGTCCAGTCGTCTTAGGCGCCGCAACTTGCTGTGCAGAGTCGAGTCCCTTGAAACCTATAATTGTGGGTTCGAATCCCGGTCCGCCCCGACTATATTTTTGGGTTTGTCAGCACCATACCCGTGCTCATGGGTTTCACCAAAGTGGTAAACGCCCCAGACCTGCATCACTTCGGGCTTTCCTCCACACCAAGCCGACACGCCGTGATATAACTGGAATACTGTTAAAAGCGGCATTAAACCCAACTCACTCACTCAATCTCAGTCATAAACAATCTTGTTTTTATAAAGTTTCATCAAATTCAAATAAAACTCTGCTGAAGATGCTGTGCACACAAGTTTTTTTGGGACGTCTTCCTCACACCGAGTGACCTTCACCTTCAACATCATCCAATCACATGCGAGGACACTACTTGTTACAGACTTGGGCGATGTTACAAATAAGAAGTCTCCACACCATGCAAACAATGCTTCCTTTATGAAACTATTCACCAGTCATATCATGCATGCGGCCTTGACATCTGACACAGCCATGACATATGAAAAGTGTGGAGTTAATTATTGTGAGTCTATTTTTCTTGAATCAACCGGAAATTTCGTGGCCTTGATCTTATATGGAGGTCACCCAAAAGATGATATGATTGAGACCCTGCCAAGTATATAACTTGCAATCCAGGACAAGTTGCACCAACTCTCAGAACGTGTTGAGACAAGTAGGCGGTGTACAGAATTTGGGCAAACATATTTTTTTTGTTACAAGTAGAGAGGGTGTACGCATGTAGTGCACGTGCAGGTCATGACGATGAAATTGACTATGCTCCCGTAGACACACGTCTTGCTCATAAATCCATTAGAAGGTCGGTGTGACAAATCGATACCAGAATTCTTAACCGAGACACGCACATATCAATCGTACTACTTGTCACAGACCACCCGCTACCCCGTCCTTCACAGTGGTACGCACCAGAGAGCGGACCTCATAAATAGTCATTCGGCGTTAAGTATCAATCACAACTCTTTGTCCTGGCTTTCCAGTATCGCATTCCGTTCAACAAAACTCTGGTTATCGAGTTAGAACACATTTGTAATGCCGAGGATCGAGGACATAGGATGTATATGGGAGGTATGGAGGTCTCACATCTTTCATAACCACGTGGACGGTCGGGTAGCCTAATGGTTTAAGCGTTCGCTCGTCACGCCGAAGACCCGGGTTCGATTCCCGACATGGGTACATTGTGTGAAGGCCATTGCTGGAATATTGCTAAAAACCGGCGTAAAACCACACTCACTCACTCACTCACTCACTCACTCATAACCACGTGGTTAAGAAAACCATTCGTGTTGGCATATAATGTATGGAAGAGCGAAGCGGCGGAAGTTACCATGTGTCATAATTGTACACGTGTATCTATTCATGTTTTCTTTTAAAGATGGTACTTTCGTATGTGAAAAATTATACTTACGTGAAAACTGAATTCCAAAGAAAAGCTGAAAGTTTAAAAAGACTCACACATGTATAACTGAGATGTTTGTCTCACACTAGTCTGTCTTACAGACCCTGATACAAATATATCAAATAAAGCCCATGCAAGTCTATAATGTTTGGCAAGTCTAGATTACTTCAGTATCTGTACGGTATGTTCATTTCAGAGTCTGGTTGTGAGTCAATCTCATTAAAATCAGATCTTAGTTCTCCCTACCGCTAAACAAAGATCTGAGGACATCCCATTACGGGTCACGTCAGCACGACCTTTCATTCAACCAATCAGAGCGTCGCTTACCAGATCCTGAAAGTGACAGTCGGAATGTGTTTTCTAGTCATGCAACCTCGAAATATTTAACAGAGGGTATTCCGAACGCAAGATACGGGTTTTATGATTATATCCATACAATCTATGCCATCTATAAGCCATTCCAGAATGTTGTTTTGGTCAGTTTTAGAAATATGTTTCGAAGCGTAGTCGCCAGTTTGAAACTAGTGCCGTAAAGCTCGAGAAAGCTGCCTTCTGATTGGCAAATGTCGACTTCCTGTCAGTCATTTCTTTGGTCGGTCAATGTTCGCGAAAGGTCGTTCTGACGTGACCCGTAATGGGATGTCCTCGGAACTTTGTTTAGCGGTAGCGAAAACTAAGATCTGATTTTAATGATATTGAGTTGTTAGTCTATTATCACACATTCCTATGTACGTGTATAGCGAATAATTATGTCGATCATTACTGTCAGCTATTTATAAGTATAACGACAAATAAACAGTATTCTTCTGTTTACAAGGAGGGTGGATTCTTATTATCATAGAACACACTTACAAAATGTCGACCACCCTGAAACATCAAGTTATGTATAAGTATCACTGGATTTTCTGTAAGATATGTTCAGCTTGTCCCCTGTGACTGAAAGAAAGGTATCACGTTTTTATAAGAACGACCTATAAATAATGACAAAATTATACATACCACAATTACACAAAGCATATTGTCAGTGATGAACCAGGCAACTGTACTGATGATATTCTCAAGAACAGTCTTCAGTCGTTGCCATGCACAGCTACTTCGCTTTATTGGCGTGCTCATCAATGATTCAGTCTGCAGTATAATTAGTAAACATCGTTTTACAAATTAGTGCCAACGCAGCGTAGCTCACCTGGTATGTAGTTTTAAATGTCAACAGTTGCTGTCAGTATTGATATTGGTTGGTTGGTTGGTTTGTTGTTTAACGCCGCACTCAGCAATATTCCAGTTATATG